TCCAGCATGCACAGAAGCATGTTGTACTCAAGAGTTATCTCCCCAAAGTGTTAGAGCAGGGATGTCTAAAGTTATACCCTGTAGTCTGGTGTTCTGCATTTCTTAGATGGGTTATTTTATGACTGCAAAGGGGTGCTTTACTAAGGGACCATGCCCTCAATAGAGACATAAACAGGATGCTACAAGAAACAGTTTAAAGGAAAGACTAAGCACCTTTTCATTCTCCCTTCCAAAAATTCTCTGGGAAAGCATCTCTTTCATGTCACAACTAAGAGCTGGCCCGAAGACATTATATGCATTGATGTCTATGATTTGCCCAAATACATATGTCATGAGCAAAGCAGGAACAAGTGGGTAGACTGCAAACGGAGAAAAACTGCCAAAAGCATATATTTCTGCGAAATTAGTAGTTCTCTTTTTTGCAGTAAAGACATGAACCAACCAGTCAGTGTTGTACTGAAAATGACAGTTTTGGAGGTTTTTAAAACAATAGATTTTGTGCCCTGTTTTCACTGTAAACTCTCAGCGGCTACATCTGCATACTCAGGGGGGGAACCCACAGCTCACTGCAGCGTTGTTTGGCTTTGCACAGTGTCTTGTTTTGCATGTCTTCCAATAAGATGCGTGCTTGGAGTAAGCACATGGCTACTTATGCCTATAGCCTCTTTAATAAAAAAACAAAAAACCATTGGTAAAAAACATAATTATCAATTATCATCTGTTGCATCTAGATCGAGCCAGTGCCTTTTTTTTTGTTGAGGCCTAAATCTCCCAGCATTTGGTATTAGGAAAATATAAAAACAGCAGTAAAAGTCTATCCTATAAAGACAAAATGTGGATAAAAAGGTTTTGGAATTGTCAGATGCAGGATGTTAGAAACCAATGGGCAATTAAGAAGATGCCCTTTTCACCAGGAGGTTAGTACTGCCTAAAGTCCTAAAGTCTATGTACTATTGCTGTAAGATGACATATTTGGTGAATTGACGCTATATAAATATTAACAGAAAACTACTGCTAGCTCGCTGCAGCTCTGAGACTGTCAGGCTTTAATGAAGATACAAAAGTTTTATGTTGTAACTAAATTGTGTGCTCAGCTTTGTAATCCGCATGCAAGGAATACCAAATATGCTCTTGATTGGCAGACAAAGCAATTGTAGGACAACAAGGATGCTTATTAGGGACAATGCCAGAAATGGTCTGCTTTTTCAGCTATGACTTTCTTCTGCAACTCAAATATATAATTTTGCTCTATCCAGTCCCCTCAGCATGAAATTTTAAAATAAGTATGGTAAACCCCCTTCTCGAACTGTCACCTTAACGTTGTGGAGGTGTTTCACTGTTTGGATGATTCAATAAGTTGGTATCAGGGATTTAAACACCCCTGGTTACAGTCCTCTAAGGCAAAAAGGCTCTAGGTGGTGAGTCAGAATAATGGCGGTTCAAAATTCTCATACCATCATAAGCATAAGGATGTTCAACTGTGCACTTGGCACTAGGACACTGTAGCCCATGTGTCAATGATTGAACTTGTAGTTAGTTGTTTCTTCTGACTTTTGGCTGTATGTCTGAGCTGTACACTTATCACCACCTGTTGGTGAGTTCAGTATGCAGGAATAGGAAACCGGACATACTCAGCAGGTCTGGGCAAATAGTGAAGGTCTCCTGGCAAAGTCTGGAGGAGCCCTCGGTCGGGAACGTATTCAATTCTCACCTCCAGGAGAACTTCTCTCAGATTCCAGGGGAGGCATGGGGCATTGTTTCAAAGTAGATCATGTTCTCTGCCTAACGGCTGCCTCTATCTGACGCTGTAAGGTCTACAGTGCTTGTCATTGAGGAAACCCATGAACCCAGTAGTGGAAACCTGCAATAAGGAATGGTGTCAAGATGAAGAATTGGGATTTGGAACACCTGAGGCATCAAGCAGTTACCATGAGGCCAATGTTACCACTGCATGGGAGGTCGCAGAGGCAACAAATAACAATCAAGTCCTGGGACATGTTTGGAGAGACCATAGAGAAAGGCTCTCTGTTGGCTCTAAAGGAAACTGTTCAGTGCCTCCGGAGGAAAGAATACTTCGAGGATCTCCTCATTCCAGCTGAAATGCCATCCGTGTTGGAAACAGAGAAAGGGAGATTGGTGACTTTAGCCTGATTGAAGTAACCTAGCATACAGTGTGCTGTATTTTCATCTTCAAGATAGTTTAAATTAAACAGTTATTGATATAGATTAAAATTCTCTACCTGATCTGCTTTATTTCAAGAGCAACATGCACAGATTGGTCAAAAAATGGGGCTGCTTTGCATTTTGACTGACAAGCTTTGTTTTCTTTATATTCAGGAAAAGTTCCTGTGGAATAATTTTGTTGGCATCTTTAGAATTCAATCCAATCCTGGGCTGGACATTTTTAATTTGTGAGAAACTGGGACAAGAGTAGAAATTGCAGCACAGTTCACCACAATTCAAGACATCTGGTCACTCTACTTGGTGCAGTGCATGATGTGCATGAACAATGCACTGGTGCTGATCAAGCTGCTGTGAACAACAATATAACTTTTGATGGGTTAAGATTAAGTAATTGTGGTGCCAGTTCTAGCTGCAGCTGCTCATACATATACATTGATCACCAACCCCTAAACTGCAATGATACTGTCCTATGAATGATTGATGGATTGCTGCATCCTTGAAGACTGGTTGGATTTCTTTGTATTTTCCAATAGCCCATAACATTTTTTAGAAAATGTATAGCGATTGAAAAAGAACAGGAATAACAAGAAAGTGGAAAGATGTTTGTCTTTTAAATGAACATAAATATTGCACTACAGTTTTGTAATTAATCTTTTACACATAAGAAGAGTGAGTCAAATGAGAGTTCAGTCAGTAGCTATAGAGACTGTGGCCAAACAGCTTCTGTTACCACTCAGCTGGTTTGTGACCCAAAAAAAAGTTGAGGCCGATTTCTCCTTAAACTATTTCAATTCTTTTTCAATTTCCACAAGTTTGACAATCATTGGAAAGTTTAGACCCTACCTTTGGGATCCATTAATAACTCAAGAGAACCATGCATAGACCTGTGACATCCTGTCACATATAAGTTTTGTCTTTAGCACCAAGGTGACACAGAGCTATTTTTCAGAACTTGCTTTTGCTACTTGCAGCATTTTTTATTTGCATGTGTTCTGTGTTTTTATCATCATTAATGTGTTCAAGAAAGTTTAGTGTTTGTACTACATTTATGTTTTTTGGAGAGTGACTGCAAATTTTACTGTTGCTCCTAAAGATTTTGTGAAGTTCTTCTTAAATAGGGTAAATAGGCATTTTTTTTTTAAAATTTATTTAAAAAAGGGGCAAGGGTGCCTCAGGAGGTACGTGTTAATTTGTAACCCACTCTATCCCTCTCTGTTGTTGTTTCTTTGAGCAAAACACATCATCTCTCTTAACGTCTGTTGATGGTCAGAGGGCCTGGTGGGGCTGACTGTATAAAAAGCCTTGCTTCTGTCAAATGTTAAATTGAGTACTTGATGTATAGTAAAAAGCTTTGTGATCCTCAGACTAGACAAAGTGCTATGTAAGTACAGTTCATTAGTATTTACCATGAAGAAAACTCGCTCCATTTGGATTGAAAGAGGTCGTAGCATTTGTATAACATCTTTTCATAACCTGAAAAGTTGGACTACTACTGATGGTTCCAGCACCTCTTAATAATGCATGTACTTTCTTTTGGATGTCTGCGTCTCCCTCCTTAACTTGCTTCTCAAAGGATCTGATCTTAGCTAGGCAGTGGCCATGGATATACTTAAAGCAAGGCTTTAGTACGCGAAATAATGATGCTAATAATTGTGGAGGGCACTGCATTAACTCACTACCCAAATACATCAAGTTTTGAAGATAGTTAAGAAACCTGAAGTTGGAGTTAAAAAACAATTAACCATATATACTGGACATCAAACATGCTTGGAACCATGACACTTCACTTTTAGACACAAAAGGTATACTTTAATTGGGTGCACTGAATAAATAGCCAGCCAATGACTTACCTTTATTTGAACTAAATCTTATCTGACATCATCTTTACAATTAAGGATTTTATTCAAGCATCTGAGCTTAAGTGAAGAGTTTTACCAAGTGAGACTGACTGGGAGGGTTATTGGTGGGGATTCAAGATGAATGACCTCTGCCTGACTCTCAACCATTGGTTTTGGGAGGTTGTAAAGTTGTAGACGAGCGGGTCAGAGGTGCGACACAGTGTCGACCTTGGTGTGCCATGTTAATGATGACCGATGCTCTCCAATTAGATCTGCTGACAGGCCCTTAAGCGCTGTGTCATTAATCACGACACTGTCGTGCACAAAGAGAAAATCACACCATGATTTATTGCTTCTCTGCTTCTCTTTTCTCACTCTCTTTCCCATCTTCTCCTTGCTTCAGTGATCTAAAAGGGATTCTTGCTTGCCAATTTGAAACTTGATAAATCAGTGGGCATGGGTTAAAAGAATATCCTATTTTGTGCAGAACTTGCAGGAGAGAATTTATTTTTTCTGATGGCAAACTTGTAAGCCTTTCTTTGAATGGCATGACTGACATCAGAAATAGAAAAGCTATGTTGCTTTGTAAAATTGCTGCATTACTTGTGTTTTGGGTTCCTCTAGGAAACTTCAAGCAGACTGCTAACAAAGTTCTCATCCCGGGGACAAAGGAAACTGGAAATAACTTCTGGGGAAGGACATCAGATTTACAGACTCATGCATGCCGATCTGGCCGTGCTCCATCACATAAACTCACCATACAGCAATACCAACTCACTAATGCACACAGACAGTGCAGGATCCTACAACCTGAGGACAAGGGACATCAACACCGATAAGGCCAAAGGGAGAAGCGAGAAGGGCTTGCAGGAAGGGGTAAAAGGGAATGGGAAGTGGATCGAGTGGGATTTCGTGGGGAGGTTATAGGCAGGCAGACGGTGCGGGGATGGGGTGGGTAGCAGTCCATACTGTACTCACATAGTCTGAATCCGCTTTGGAATCGTAGTATGAAATGGCATTTTCCTGTGCAGAAAAGAAAAGTAAGAAGAAAAGGTGGTGAGAGAAGATATAGCTGTGCCTATATCAGCTCCCGACCTGTGGTGGTAAGCAGGAGAGAGAGAGAGAGAGAAAGTCTTGTTTATATTCAGTCACACTGTTCAGCATGAGAATATAATCAGCATCACAGAACACAGGAGTAGTGTGATGTAGAATGCTTGTCATGACAAAGCAAGATGTATTAAACCAGTGTTTTGAGCACAAGTTTGGAATCTTGTGATGTGAAACAAAATGTAGTGTGAGGTCAGATGGTTTGCAATAAAACAAGAACAAGGCACCAGCAACGCCGCAAAGCTTTTTTCTAAAGCTGACATGTCTTATATCTTCAAGAAAACTCCACCAAGATAACTTTGCAAACTAGCAGGTTGTGATCAACAACAAATTTAGTAGATAAAGAAAATTTCAAATATTCTGACATTTTACTATATGAACCAAAAAGTTAAAGCTACTGGTCTATAACATGTTATACAGAGTATTCTATTTTTACCAATTCTATAACAAACAAAAGATAATATTTCCATAATTGTGCCAATTAACATCATTAAAAGTGTGTGCAATTTCCTGCGTGGTTAGGCTCAAGGGTTTCCTACTGTATGTTCTTGGTCAAGAATAAACTGAAGTCTTTTCTTAGCAATTTTGATTTCTCTTCATGTATATAGCTAAGGTTACTAAAATAGTCATCAGCAGAAAGAAATATTAATGCTACACCCCGGGACAGTTATCAAATTTTTACTTTTATAGGGAACTAAAAAAACAGTACTACTGATTACCTATTCACATTAAATCAAAAAGTATCATGTTTTGGCATCTCAGGGCATCACTGTGAAACAGAGAGACTAAAACACAGGACTGATGGCAGAGGCTGCTGGCACAGTGACCAAAAGAAAGCAGCATTGGTAGTAATCTCCAGGCAAGTAAGTACTGCATAAGATGGTATTATTATGGTAAAAAAAAATAGATACCACTGAGTACCGACACAGATTCCAAGGTGCTAGCATCAATACTGAATTAGTGAGGAAGATACTCATTTGCCATCTTAAAAGAAACAGGATCCTTATACTTGTAAACATGTACATATACATATATATGTGTATCTGATCCATGAAAATGGAAAACAAAGCTTTTGAAAAATAACAGCACAGCGGCCTATTTTGTGCACACCCACTAATGCTTTAAGGGTAAGAATGGTACTAGAATGATTTTACTAGAAGCTCAAAGACTATGAGACAAAATATATTTATCCTCTCTCTCTGTATATATGTATGTATATATACATTTATATACTGTATATGTGTATATTTGTATGTATACATACATATATACAGAGAGAGAGGATAAATATATTTTGTCTCATAGTCTTTGAGCTTCTAGTAAAATCATTCTAGTACCATTCTTACCCTTAAAGCAGTAGTGGGTGTGCACAAAATAGGCCGCTGTGCTGTTATTTTTCAAAAGCTTTGTTTTCCATTTTCATGGATCAGATACACATATATACACAATCTTTACTTTGTAAAATTGCCTCTTGCCTTACCAACAATTTAGTTTGCATTTGAAAGAGTGATGCAAAAAACTTGTATGAAAAATATCTCTGTTGTGAAAAAAGGGTCTTCACCTCTAGCTTTTATCCTTTACTTTGAGTTTTACCAACCTCTGCTGTTAATGTTCTGTCGTAGTTCCCAGCAGAGGGTAGGCACCCACACCAAATAAGAATGAAAATATACAACACAGTGTTAAACAGTTTTGTTCCGCTTAACCACTTGACTCTCTAGCTACAGGCTGAGGCTCCAGATTCATATTTTTATGACTAAGAGCTTACACTATCCTCATGCTCAGCTGTTGGCTACCCAGTTGTCCTCTTTTCCCTCTCAGCTGGAGTCCTTATCAGCCTCCTAGGTAGTCAGTGGCTGCATTTGGTGGGCAGCATCCATATGGTCTGCCTCATTATCATGAGGAGAGACTGTCTGAGAATGTGCTCTCAAGGGCAACATGGTTACTGCTGCACTCTCACAGGCAGCGCTGCGGTCATGATCTGGTGAGAGAGGCTAGCTGACAAAGAGACAGCCTTTTGTTGTGGTGAAGTAAATCTTACACAGCTAAGACTTCCTTTCAGACTTCCCATTTCTTTTCATCTCAGCATTACACTAAGTTTTGTCATGCATTATAACTTCCTTTATTTCTTCCCACATGCTTCCTTTAATTTTTTTAGACTGAAACCCCTTTCCTAGGATTCCCCCTGCACATTTCTCTTGGAATTTGAATAAGAATTTCAAACTGTGAAAAAAGGACACTTGGATAAAGACCTGAAACATTGGGTGCTGTTAATAGGTAAACATGCTTGGCTTAATATGCCTTTATGTGTAAAGTAATAAAGCCTGGAAGAGGGATTACATTTTATGCTTATTAAGAAGGAGAAAGTAAATAAGAAATAAACCTATTAAAGGTTAAATCTACTTAAATATAACTGAAATAAAATTTATTTGGAGGTGTATAGCAAAGTTTCCTGACCAAACAACATACCACTTTGTAATTTCTTAATTTTGTCATGTCAAAACCTGAAATTGGGATTTTATAAAATAGACTGACAAAACATTGTACAAATTTAAAGCAGATGACAAACGATGGATGGTTTGCAAAATGTGTTTTAAAACATCTAACAAGTATAGTGTATACAACGATTTGATCCCTTTCTTTCATCCATGAATAATTTTCATGTAAGATAGTCGCAACATAATTATGTGGAAATGTTTTACTTAAGCAATGATACAACAAACAGTGAATAAAAGAGGGAGAGGATGGGTAAGACCTTAAAATGAGACAGAGGTTTATCTGTCAGCAGGAAAATAGCACTAAACATACAGCAAGATAAAAGTATGTTTATGCGTTTTAATAAGGCAGACCTAAAGATAATTGAGAAACTGCAACACAAGAGAAAATTTAGATTTCTCAAATAGTCTATATACAGGCTAACTAAGGGGGGATTTTTCAAAGGAATATAGAAAACAGTTTGTAGATATGATATGATATGCTAGTAAGGACCTTAACCCAAAATACATGCAGTTAGAATTGCATACATACATAGGTGAAGTATTGGAAATTGAAAAAGAGCTAAAGAACATACGACCATTTCAAGGTTGGCAATCTCTGAAGTAATTTATGGAGACAAGTTTTTTGTTTATTCATTTTTTTAATCAACCTGAATGCAAGCTGAGTGCTTGCAAAAACTGTTTATTTGAATACATTTGCACACCTTTTCCCAGTACCCCCCCCAGCAGTGCTTGTACTTTGCATTAAACAGACCAACATATTTCATTTATCTAAACAATTACAACACCAAATTTCTCAGTAACAGCAACGCACACACGTGTGTCTTCATATTTCGTGGGGACTTTTCAGTCATTTCCATTCATTTGCATGGCCTAACCCAGACACCCTGACATAACCAACATATATCTAAATCTAGCCTAAACTGAATTCACACCTTAGGCCTAAACCCTAAACCCAAGAAAACAACATTTCCTTATGGACACCAGTTCAGGTCCCAACAACTGCCTGTAAATCCCTTAGACTGTAGCATATTTTAACAAAAATTCCCCTCATACTATCTCCACCAGGTTACAAAAACAAACCCACAGACACACATACAAATTTGGGGAAAATTGTTGATTCTCTTCATCTTGTTGGTGTTCCGTAAAAATTCCAAAAATAGCCACTGGACTTGGTTTTCAAGATTTGAAGACGTTTCGCCACCTCTCCAGGAAGCTTTTCAGGTATTACAGGAGACAATCCCCCCCTTAATGGCAATCCCCCCCTTTAACGACCGACCCCTAGAATCATAGACAGGTTCAGATATTACAGGCTAACGATGGAACTAAACGACCCATTCATCGGTTACCATTGCATGTTTCCAAGCAATACAAGGCCTTGTCCATATAAGACTCAAACTCACTGCGATTCCAGACATTTGAATTGAGAAAGCTTCCTGGAGAGGTGGCGAAACGTCTTCAAATCTTGAAAACCAAGTCCAGTGGATATTTTTTGAATTTTTACGGAATGACTATGACCTGGATGACTGAGAACCTTCATCAGCATCTTGTTGGTGTTTGCAAATAACAAATGACAGCAACTTGTTTGGAAATTAACATCAATTACTCAATAGTAGGAACAATATGCTGAAAGACAGCAGTTTGTGTGATAGTAATCAATGTGTGTGTGTGTTCAGAATACAGCTATGAATAGAGCTATGCGGTAATTGGGCTTAAGCCTTTGAATAGGTAATCTACAAGAGGCCTGAGATGCAGTCATTAGGTCAGCAACCATTAATTATTGTGTCTGGAAACCCTTGACTTTAATCGGTCGATTTAGTTGGGTGCTGTGCCGTGATACATGAACTTAAATTTAATATGATGCATCGTAATAGTTTATTTTTAGGTTTTCAAACTCATCATGGAGAAACAGTTTTGTTACCAATAGAGATGTTCTAAGACCATTTTTTTCTCTCCTGATATAATTCTGATGCTTGTGCTGGGGGTATTGGCAGATATAAACTACCAATATTTTAAAGGTCTGACAGATCACCCAATAATGTTTTCATCCAATCTCGTCCTGTCAATGAAAACTGAAACCCGTGAGTTGTCATGTTTTCGTCATCAAAGATCCATGTTTAGCTCGTCAGTTCTCATTATCGTCATGAAAAAAAGGAGCGTCAACGAAATGATTTCATCATCGTTGACGAAAACAACACTGGTTAAAACTTGATACAACACATTTACGGTGTAAGTCAGTCTGGCTCCCTTGACCACTGACAGAAGAACAACAAGTAGTAAAAAGAATAAAATCTCTAGCCTTACAATAGCTGCTCTATATGGCACTTCTAAAACTGGAACACACACAAACTGTAAATACCTTTTTAAAATCTTGGCAATGTGCAAATTAGGTCAGTATTTTCTCTATTCTCTATTTCCCAAATG